ACAGAGCAGAGGCGCTCTGGCCGTGACCGGGCTCTTACTGGAGCTTGTGAACGGGTGCTCTGATTCATGTTCTGCCTAAAGCCCACAGGAGGGCACAGGAGGAACCCCCTAACTGCCAAGGTGGCAGAGGTGACTCTTTCCTTCTCTCCTGCTAATGACCACACTGTTGTCACAGGCCTTGGGTTGTCATGGTGATTCTAGATGGAATGGAAACAAAAGCATGAGGCATACAGCATCGCCATCCCGTGGCCTATCTGAGAAACACGCCTATCTATCCACTCCGGTGACACCGGAAGGCCCTGGGAACAGCTAAGGTTTTCCTAATAGAGTCACAGGAAAGCTGAGACCAGAGCCTAGAGAGAGGGTTAAGACCTAGCTCTTGGGCAATCAAGTGACCTTGCCTATTTTAGCTCTACTTGGTCTGCCCCCTGACACACAGCTATTGGGCTGGTCACTTACCTATATGATTGCTACCTGGTGACTAATCAGGCCTTTAAGAAGAGGGAACCATTTACACAGAACACTCAGAACTTAAGGCTTTCTGTAGGAAATGCCAGATTCATAAGAAAGGAGAGAATTCTGCCCTAAAAACGTCCTGCTGAACTGAGCTTTTTGATTCAGGAGAGGACTCTTTTCTTCCCACCCAGCCTTACTTCTGTGTCTCTGGAAACACTAGATTCCTGGTCCTACAGCTTATGTATGAGTGATCAAAGCCAATTTCACTAACCCGCAGTTCCCTATCTGTAAAATGGGCCTTGATCAAAATACTCCCCTGGTGGTGTTGTTGAGAAGATTAAATGCATCTGCCACTGCTTAGCACGAGTCCCAGGAAGATGAACTACTCAATCACTGCTAGGTGTCATGGGCAGCAGCAGTAGGAAGTGCCTGTGAAGATGCTGGTGAGGGAATGTGATCTGTGTGGAGTGAAGCTGTGTTCACTGCTCTGTAATTGGCATGTTGCTTGGCAAATTTTAACAGCCTCAAATGGTTCTGTCTGCCTTCCAAGAAAACCGAACAACAGGTGCCTTAACTTACTCCAGGCTGAAGGCAGTCTGGTTTGGTTTAAAACATCCTGGAGCAGGTTGAGAAGTCTCCACCTCTGTTGCTCCCCGCTCCCCCTCCAGTAACTTTCTGGGGCATGCCATGAAATCAATGAGTGTTAAATGAAAGCCTGCCTTTCCCCAGGGAAAGCTGTGACAGCACAGCTTGCAGCTGCCCATCAGAGAAGGCAATGACAGCCCTAGTGACACACTGACTGTGTTTCCTGCCTTGCAGATGACGATGGGCCTCTAAGTTACAAAGTGCAGCCTCTTAGGGCATGCCTACCTGCTGGCTGCCCACACAGAATCAGATGCCCATCATGTCAGACGTCCCAAGAACTCAGGTGGATAGAGGGAAAGCAGTTAGGATTGCATGCAGGTGACACTTTCTGTTCTGACCATGGCTTCTCAGGTGCCTCCCTGGGTCACCTGACTCCTTTCCTGGCAGCCAGGTTTAACCAGGAAGCTGATGGACTATTTCCTATCCCAAACGAGGAACGGCGCTAGCAGCAAACAATGAGTGTATCTTTTACACAGTGAAAGACTGCCGGAACTGGACCTGTTCAAGACTGATTACATGGAGGTACAGGAGCTACTCAAAAACATCTGAAGGCAATGAAAACTGACTTCCGAGTTTCTCAGAAACAGGGGCTGAGGTTCAGTTTAAGAATGAGCTTTTCAACTTCCAACTGTGCAGTGAGGACTTATCACAGACACCATCGGCGAAGGGAAGACAAGCAGATTTATCAGAGAAGGCATGGTGGGGCTGCAGCACCAGCCGGTACATCAACACTCGTGTGTGTGTGTGTGTGTGTGTGTGTGTGTGTGTGTGTGTGTGTGTGTGTGTGTGTGTGCATTCGAGCAAGCAGGCGTGTGTATGTGTCTGCTTCTGGGTGTGTAGCCCCGAAGCTCCTTTGATCAGAGACCTTGGATATTAAGCTAAGGATGTAACCCTTGGGAGGATACAGAGGACAATATGTCAAGTTCAGGGGCAACTCCAGGGACAGCTAGAGCGTGCCTGTAGAAAGCCATTTGGTGAAGCCTCTGAGGGTGACTCGGATAAATACTATTAGTGTTGATCATCTGTCCAAAGGAGCATGGCAACAAATTGCCAAAGTGGCCTGGCTGGGCACATCCTGAACTGGAAATATTTGGAAGGATGGCAGCTAAGTCCCGAGCAATCAGGAAGGGAGGGGCAGGGGGCAGAAAAACCAAGCACATTCACTTGGTCCCTGTTAGTGTCACAGTAAGTTCCAGAAAGGAAATATACAGGATCTCTAGGCAAAGAAGGGACATTTCCACTTTGACATGCACCAATCATTCAAGAGAGAACGGTGAGGGGCAGGAGAAACAAAATTTCCCATACTGCATCTGAGTCAAAGGAGATGAAATTACCCAGTCAACCAGGGGATTCTAATCAGAACCTTCCTGTCAGACTATCTCCAGCCAAAGTAGGAGAAATCCAATCTACGGCCCGTTGAACCCTAAATTCGATCTAATGGGGACCTGCTTTCCAACTGCTCAACAGCAGGCCAGAACCAGAGATGATGGGCTCCAGCTCTGCCTGCGGGTTCTTTCTGAAAAGCAAGCCAGCCTGAGTTGTGTCAACTCCTGGTCTCCACAGAGGGAGAAGTACTGTCTTTACCCCCTAGCTAGTCAACTCCATCTGCTCAAAGCCGTGCTGTTCAGCTGGCCTGTCTTTCAAGCCCAGGGAGGGGGGCTTGGTAACCTCCTGACTGCTGTCAGCTTGTAGCAGGGACATGTCTCCTTTGTTTAAAAATATGCCACTCTAGAATTTCTGATACACACCATTCACAATGCTAGGCACTTTGATGTTCAGTCCATCTCTCCTCAGGGTAGATGGGCATGGCCTTTTTCTTTTAATGTCTATCATAAAAGGTTATTAACACCAGCCTGGCTGGTCACAGCACACACACACACACACACACACACACACACACACACACACACACACACACACACACACCCTCCAGGCAGATACTATTGTTACTCTTCTGGGGATTAATAGCTACAGTTAAGCAGCCTTGTGATGACAGTTATAACTTAGTTTCTCTGCTAGAAGCAAAGAACACCATCTGCGAAACACCCAGATCCTTGCAGGGCCCTGGTATGTCATTCTACACAACAGTCTTAAAGACCTAGGAAGGGCTAGGACCTTTGAACACAGATCTGCTCACCTACAGCCAGGCAGAATGCGATGGAAGCAGAGGAAGAGCCAGGAAGATGTAGGGAACATAGGCTTCTCTCTGTATCTCTCTGTCTCTCTCTCTCTCTGTCTCTCTGTCTCTCTCTGTCTCTCTCTCTCTTTCTCTGCCTCTCTCTGTCTCTGTCTCTCTTTCTCTCTCTACTTATCAGCTTTGTCAAACTAAACTGACGGTTGCTGTGCTGGATCCACAGCCCAGAAACTCGATGGCCATTTCATTCCAACATGATTCACATTGTTATATATCCTGGGGCAATCTGTCCAGGGACTTGGGAGTTTAGGATGTAAGCTATGAGATGGGAGGGCCAGAGGAAGTCTTACTTCTTTCTAGAAGTGTCCTTGCAACCCAAAACTACATGTGCCCATCCTACTACCTTGTGTCTTTGGTCCTGTGACTTCTCCCCTTTCAGAGATCTGAGTGGATCACCCTGTCCGTAAACTTAGATTTTGGCACCCCCTAACTGTACGGGGGAGGCGGGGGAAGTCTGGAACCTCTTCTTCCTTGGGAATTGGAGATGATATATCTTTCTTTCTCCTTTCTCCCTCATGGACCCAGCCTGGCCTCACACTTACGACTCTTTTGCTTGAGCTTCCTAAGCCCTGGAATTAAAGGTACACAACACCTTGCCTGGATTAGAGGTGATTTTAATTTTTTTGAAGACATGCAATTTACAAAAAAATTACATGCAAATCTGTTGGTACTCAGAATGGAGGCCTGTGAAATCCTGTCTTGCACGATTCAGAGAGCTGAAAGCCTTTGGAAATATATGACCATGGAGAGTCTACTCACTTTCTACACTTAATTTGCTGTGTGACACAGGGAAAATCATTTAACTCTCTGAGTTGGCATTCTCCAATGCTCATAGGGTACTCAATTTCAATTTTTAATACCAACAGGAATTATTGCAGTCATATACTTGTTTGTACAAATACACACCCATCCACACACATATCCACACACACACACCCATCCATACACACACACACACACACACACACACAGTCTCCAAACCATACATAACACATGAGTGTAGATGTACCCACTACCCAGTCACAAACCAGGGATGATTTTTGCTCATAAAATATTCTAAAATAAGCTGAATTCCTTTCTTTATTTCTGCCCATGAGAGCTCAATTATCTTCTTCAAACATTTAAATCCAAATGACCAAAATGAAATAAAGGCAAATAAATAAGCTCAGAGCTTAAAACTTGAGGCCACAGATCTTCCTTTAAAAGAAATAAGCACTTCCCTTCAGCCTGTCTTACCAGACAGTCACACTGCTGGCTGATTACGTCTCTCTTTAATGGCTTCTCCCTGCCCAAACCCATGGAAAGGTCACATGCCTATGGACAGCTGTTCCAGCTTTCAGACTAGAGTTTACCTTGGGAAGGTTTTAGTTCCCTAAATTCTTAGTGCACCTCTGTAAGATATTTCCTCTTGCAGGATTCACTTTCTTTCTTACTTTCAAGTCCTGAACCCATTCATGACACATGCAAGGGCCTGGGTTCTGGACTGGATCATCTAGGCTTATGTACACTAGCCTTGGCGTTCTTTGCCAACTCTCTGCCTCTGTGGCCACAAAATGAGGCCTTGGAGAGGTCAGATGGAATGCACAGAGGCTTTAGGGTCAGTGTGATAGGCATAAAGTCAAAAGAACTCTCCAGGGCATGGCTTAAATGTTTTCAGCCTTCAAAACAGTCACAGGGATGTAAAAAGTAGCCAGTTCCTACTCACAGCAGCTGCAGAGACACCAGCCCATCAAACAGTCCCTTGGGAATCTCTGTAATCTTGTTCCCATAGAGCACCCTGGAAGAAAGCAAATGACAGCAATCAGCAGGGCTTAAAGGAGGTCATCACCTCTGCCAGGACTGGGTGCAAGATCTCAGGTGACCTGCCTCCCTGGGCTGCCACATCTTCCCATCTTCTTATCAGGGACAGAGGCAGGCAGATCATCCTGTGCTGGGTGGGAGTGCCGTCCTGGAGGTGAGGTAAGCCAGGCTCCATCCTGCTGCACTCCAGCCCAGGCCGGTACATCACCCCCAGAAGGAAGAAGCAGCATCCCTTTGTGGTACCTCCTGAGCTGCTAGTGTGACTCATGCCCCACAGTAAATGAGCAGTGTGGGAGGCCAGCCTGTGACTTCAATGGGTATTGATCAGGCTGAGCCAGCCTATAGAATGCTTCCTTTTAATATCCCACTGCATCCTAGGAATTCCTGAGCTGAGTTCTTTAATCACCCATCTAGACAGCAGGGCTATGGGTATGTGGGGGCATCTCCAGATGGCGCAGGCATTGCTGAGTTGAGGCCTGACTCAGTGGGGAGGCTGAGGAGTTTCGCTGTCTCAGATGGTGGCAGCTTCCACTCACTATCCGCCTGTCCCATTCTCTCAGATCTAAGAAGAAAGGAACTCAGATTTTCTTTTTGCATTTCATCTTTCAGGCCCACAGTGTCCCCTTGCTATTTCTAGGTCTCATGTTTGGTGACTTAAGAAGCCTGGGAAAGGAATAAGGCTTTCCTTTTCAAGCCCAGCACCTAGCGGGTCTGTAAACCTGGAACTGAGACTCTCTGGGCCTCTCTCTGCTTCATCTCAAGACCGATTTTGCTGTCCATGGGGTCCGGCCTCCTCTTTAATTAGGGAACAGCTAAAGAGGGCTTGGTTTGCTTCTGTTCAAAACCCCTTCTCAAGTCTGAGTACATGGGCTATGCAATTATTTACTTCCCACTCAAGTCAAGAATCTAGGCTGACGGTCATTTGAGGAGGCAAAATATTAGGAGGAAGAAACGTCGAATGAGTGTAAAATAGGCCCCCTCTCCCCACTGCCGCCCATTTCCAGAAGCCACTGGGAGTGAGTTCTCCATCAGCCTGCGGGTGTGTTTCATTAATGCTTCAACAAATTAATGACTAAATAGAAGTCAGCATGATGGCGCAGGCTCACATTTGTAATTCATATTAATGTCCCACTGCTCACTGTGCCAAGTGTAGTAATGCCACAGCCTGTTCATCTCCATGGATGTCAGAGCTTCTAGAGTGGTAGAAGCTGCTGGGGGTGGAGGTGGGGGTGGGGATGCTGGCGTAAGGGTCCTCAGGCACTCTATCACTCCTCAGTATGGAACACCCTCAAGTCTGTTGGGTCAACCACCTGCCTATGTGCAAGCGTGCCAGCCTGCAGATCGGCGTGGATTCCCGCCTGAGCCTTTACCTTGATTACCTTCGCTACCCTTTCACGTCCGAGCCCAAACAGTTCTCTCTCTGCAGAAGGAGGTCTCCTAAATGTTTTAGCTAAGATTTTCTACCATCTACTATCTTATTTTGCTTCTCCGCTGCACTTACCTTTATGTTAGCTTACATTACTTACACATTTACTTAGGTTTAGTTTATTCTTATTATTTTATATGTATGGGTGGTTCGCCTGTGTATGTGCGTGTGCCTGGTGCCTGGAAGTGGCCGGAAGAGGATGTCAGATCCCCTGAGGCTGGAGTTACAGTCAGTTGTGAGCTGCCACGTAGGTGCTGGGAACTGAACCCGGGTTCTCTAGAAAAGCAGTCAATGCTCTTAACTGCTGAGCCATCTCTCCAGCCCCTTTAGGCTTAGTTTCTACGTTCTTCCTTGGACTTTGCTGAATGTGATGATGTTCTAGGGCATGCCCATGGTTGGATCTCTAGAGTGGAGAAAGAGCAAGGTCTAGTAAATAAATGTCCACTGACTGACTGACTGACTGAATGAATGAATGAATGAACAGGTCTGGAGTAAAGGCTCTCCATCCCTTTACCATACACAGTCAGCTTCATGAGCCCCATGGGCTTCTCTGTTCAGTTCCTGGTCATATTCTTTATGCCTATAACACAGGCATACACTTCCACAGCAGGCATCTACTAAATGGAGGAACAAATAAACAAAAGCTGAGAGGTGTCTCACTTAATGCTTGGCACGCACCTCCGAGTTCACTACTGGTGTGCCAATTTCCTGTTTGGCAGATTTTGAATTTCTTCTGCAAGATGGGAATCATCCCACTGTCTTGAGACTGTTCCCAAACATGGGCTAAGGGAGGCCAGACAAGGGGAATGGGAAGGTTAAGACGGGATTCTGGTGGCAGGGGCCTCCCTGTCTCCTCCTCTCTGTGACACTCATCACAATAAGCAGACACTAATCTCATACACCGCCCTGTCTTTGATATCCCAGCCAGATGTTCTATTCGATAAATGAAACTAATTTACTCGGCAGGCAGCAGACAGCAGCTGAATCAGGGACTTCCTGTCCTCGGCTCCTGCCCAGTAGGATGGGAGGACATGTGTATCTTGTTACCTGCCTGCTTGTAAACTAAGGGGCAAAACACAGATCGCGTGCCTGTGAGCACCCTCTTTATCATCTTGGGTGTCGAAGGGGGGCAAGGCATTAGGTGTTATAGATGGATCAGCTGATGAAACTATTTCTGATGCTACACTTTCCCCATTATGTTGAGGGGCTGCACAACATGGAGATCAGGAGTGAGATTCTAGACCAAACATGCTGGGCTCAAATCCTACCTCTCAGACTCATTAGTGTGCTTTCACAGAAGTGTTTTTCACTTGTTTAACATGCTCTCTCTCTTCCACCTTCTTCCCTACTCCTTCTCTGAGATGTATGCTAGTGAGCGGGTACAGGCATGGGGTGTTGTGGGGGGCGTGGCTCACCTGTGTGTATGTATGGAGGCCAGAAGTTGATATCAGGTGTCTTCCTCTCTATTGCTTGTCATTTAGTTTTTGAGACAGGGTCTCTCAGTGAGCCCGGAGTGGCTGACAGGTAAGCTCCCAAGACATCCCCCCACCCCCGTCTTTCCCCTAGCCCCCAGTTCTGGGTTACAGCCATATACCAATGTGTCTGCTTGTATGTGGAAACTGAGGATTTAGACTCAGGTCCTGAGGCTTGAGCAGCAGGTACTGTACACGCTGTCATCTCCCTAGCCCTGAATCTTTTCTTTCATCACTGTGTGCTAGGTACAGTCTGAGGTGCCAGGGTTACGTGCGGGAACAAACACAGTCAAGGAGCTTAGATATGTGGCAGTAGACTCCACAGTCTATGTTTCTGTGAGGATTTCACCCACAAGACTCCTTGAGGAGTATCTGGTTACAATCAGTGCTTGATAAATGCTGTCAATTATTTTAATACTGTAATGTGTCAATCAAACAGTGTGTTAGGCATGGAAGGATCTCTCTCTCCCTTCTGCCTGAGGAAGCATGCAGAGAGGGCTCTGTCTATGCCCCGGGTGAACTGCTGAGGGAATCAGGGCAAAACCCTATACCTTCTTAGCCTGGGAGTCTAGTGACCCTTGGTGGGTGAGGCTTTGAACCTCAACATGGGGCTAAACAAGGGATTGAAAAATCCAAGAAAGTAAGGGTGATGGGATGGGGTAGATCTTTTCTGAACTAAGTACAATGTAGGAATAGTCTAGAAATCAGAAAGAGGAAATACTGCCCTCCTCAACAAGGCCAGAGACTGTGGGAGGAGGAGTGGTAAGCCGTGGCTTCATCTCAGACATACATTACCATTCTCTCCACCCGACCTCCTGCTCTCCCCTGAGATAGCACTGTGCAACATAAGGTGGGAGGGGGAGTGAGGTGAGAGTCAAAGATGCATTCGAATTAGAAGCCAATAACTGGGAAAGCCGCCGGGCACTTAATCAATAAAAATAATGCATGTGAGTTGTAGAAATATTCCCCAAGATCAATTTCCCCTGAAGAAATATTTGTTTCTTTTACCAGATTGCCACAAGTGTGTAAGGGAACATAAAGCCTTGATAAACACCTCCTGAAAAATACGGGCGCGCCTCCCACCCCGGCCCCACTTACAGCGATGTGAGTGATTTCAGGCCCTGGAAGGCATCTGGAGCTATGTCCGATATCTGATTCTTGCTGATGTCTCTGAAAACATTAATGGGAAAGTCTGAGAACACGGCTCACAGGTGTGATAACGCTCTTCCTGAAGTATGCACCCAGCAGTTCAGCCATTCAAAACTGGTACAGATTAATTGATCAATCAAGCAATTTATTTATTCACAGCACAAGAGGCAATGCCTAAAGAACAAATCTCCTGCTGCCTCGGGGTAAAGTATGTCTTTGTATGGCTTCTCAGGTTCTAAGGAATGCCCACTTAAGTCTTGCCTGGCACAAAAGGCCATGAATATGTAGGTCATTCCTGTTTGGGGGAGAAGCTGCCTCCAGAAGCCATGCTTGATGGGTATGCTGATGAACTGTGGTCCCAGCACTTGGGAAGCTAAGGCAGGAGAATTGGGAGTTGGAGGCCAGCCTGGGCTACATAGTGATACCCAGTCTCAATAAAACAAAACAAAAACTCAACCAGCCAAATAACCAACAAAACAAACAAACAACAACAACCCCCCCAAAAAAACCAAACCCCAAACCAAAACCAACTTCAAGCCAGGGCCTTGGTCTCAGGTGCCATTATCAAGTATTTAACAGTACAAACAAAGCGGCATGGACCCCACCCAACCAAAGGCCAGGGCAGGCTCCTTTGTGCATCACTTTTCTTGTCTTGTATCCCATAGTGATTATCATCGTGAAAGCCCTGGGGTATTTCACCTCCCTGGTCACTTCTCATCACTGACCTGATCAAATCTCTCTGAGCATGGATGATGCCATCCTCTCATCTGTCTGATACAAGCAAATCACAAGACTCTCAAAGAATGCCTTTAGACAGGGATGTGTCACTAGTTGGGAATGCTCCTCATTTGGGAACAAGCCCAGGGAGGTGACATGTCCAGAATTTAAAAGAGTCGCTGTATGGTAGAAGGATCTTCCAAACACAGTGCATATAGTAGCTAGCCTGGCCTTGAAGGTCCAGGTGCTGTGGCTAGCCTGGTCTCAAAGTTGTGGGTGCAATAGTTAGTCTTGTCTCCCAGATGCAGGGAGCCTTCTGCTGTACGCTTTGAGCATACTGGTGACAACTGGGCCACAGTTTCTTGCTAATGGCCCTTGTGGAAGGGGATTTCTTTTCCTCAGAGTTAATAGCTCAGGGCTGGCCTTTGGGCGCCTGTCACTGGCAGGAGAGATGGACCAATTTCCTGCGACAAGAAACTCCTCCCATTCAACAAAAATAAATCAATGGGTCCTTGCTTTTGTGGGGGAGAGGGAGGGCTGAGGTCTTCACAGGCCAACAGGAGGAGACAAGAGGATATTGAGAAGAAAGTACATCTGAGAAGATTATTGGTCAATGATGGCCTCCAGTGGGGCCAGTCACCCAGCAGACCAGCCTCTTACACAAAAGGCGTACCTTTGTCCTGTCTCCCCTTCATCTGACAGCCTAGAAAAAGGCCAAGCAACAACTTTTGCCTAGACCTCTGCTCCCTCCCATCCTACTTCCAAAGCCTATAAGCTGAAAGATATTTCCCAGGTTAAGGCCCCTCTGGCACAGCTGTCTGACTTATCCCTTTAGCTGGCAAGATAGCCTCAAACAAATCCAGATTGTGTTTTCAAACTCGTCAGCTTACAGTGGGCTTTTCTTCGTGTCTCCATTTTTGTATAAGGGCCTTAACAAGCAAATACCCTGGATTATCCTCATCTTGCTCACCCTCAGGGTGGCTGCCTAGCAAAGCATTTTACAACAGCACACAGGGTCTGCTCCCATTAGAGAGGGGGACTATTTTGACTTTTTCCCCATCGTGGAATGTCCATTCACAGGACTCAGAACTCTAGCATAAGGAAGTTCCCTGGGCCATTGGGAAAGATCCTTTCCTCAGCTGTGTGGGGAAAGACTGGGGTTTCAGTTCACAATGACAACTTCGGGACTCCACTCTCCTTGGGCTATAACACAAAGTGAGACAATTGTCTGGTTTGAGAGTGATGGATGATGGGAACCAGAAAAGTATAGTTTGGTGGGAATAGACCACCAAAGGTTACTTAGACCTTTCTTTCCCATAATTTTTTATCCTATATATCTATATATTTTAGGTGATGTTTTGGAATATATGCTCACTGGGAAATGGCTAAATCAAGCTGTTTAGCACATTTAAATCCTAGGAAGTTATCTATTATTACTTGTGAGTACATTTAAAATGTACTTGGAAATTTTCAAGTAGACAATACACTGTTATTAACCATAGCTAACATGGTCTAGGATACATCTTTTGAACCTCTTCCACTAGCCCAACTGAGATACTGTATCCTTGGACATCTCTCCAGTACCACACTCCGCCTCCACCATGGCCCTTGGAGTGTCATCTACCGGCTGCTTCTCTGAGTTGGAAGTTTAGATTTATGTGTATGATGGCTACTCTCCACTGTCAACTTGACTAGATTTGGCATCACCTCTGGCTGTGTCGCTCAGGTTGGCCTCATCCACGTGACTCAACCTCCTGAGTTGGGATTATACCTGTACCACCACGTCTGGCTTCAAAGAACTCTACTAGCACCAGTCTGGCAGAACAGCTCAGGCTTGCCCTCAGTGTTAGGGCTGTCTACACACCAACTCTACAAAACCAGGAAAATGGTCTCCAGTACCCCCATCTCTTTACTGATACGGGTTTTTACCTGGCTGTATTTATTTTAATATTGGGGTGATCATTAGAAATAGGTTAGGAGAGGAGACAATGATTCATGGATAATTCTTTTTTTTTTTAAAGAGAGGCCAGGATGTCACAGCTGAGGGGAAATTTCCTCCCGTTAAATATTATGTATAAACTATTCATGGTCACCTAGGAGGAAAACATGATTAGGGTCTGCAATCCATTTGCATCTGAGACTTACCTGAGCCCACACCATTAAACAACAGTGTATATTTCTGAAATTCTATTAGTCAAAAAAGTTTAAGCTGATTCTTTTTCCTCCTCCCACCCCTTTGTGGGGCATCACAATAAATGCCAGTGACATCAGAAGTGATCAAAAATTAAAATCACTCTCCAGGTCGTGAATGATAAGGTCTTATGAATTTTGAATGTGCCTATCGTGGCAACTCCAACAGGATGAAGAAAGGACAGTAAAACACAGCCAAGCTCTAAATTACCTGGACTTCACAAAAAATTAGAACAGGAACTTAAATCATGCAGGAGCTATAGGTTGAGGGCAGTCACTGAACTTGCCATTTTTCACCAAAATTACTATCTGGGTGCATAACCAAGCTGAGCTTTAAAAATGAATTTGGGGGATGCATAGAGAGTGAGCTGGAGAAGCAGGGATACTGAGAGATTAATGACCCGAGACTTTAAATATTAAGGCCTATATTTATTCAGCTCTTCTAGAAAGGATGCTGCCAAAGGAAGGGAGAAGCCAGTGCTGGGAGCTGGTGCATTATGTTGGCTTCCACTAGTTGCAATTGCACTAGGAGAAAATCTTGTTTGCTTTGGCTTTCCAGGGAGATGGGAAGTTGGCTTCCTGAGATCAGAGGGTAAGCCTACTAATGCCACTGTTTCATGGGCATATTTATTTTTACCATGAAAGGAATCAGTAGACCTTGTTGATACTGGCCCCTCCCATTCAGGGGAAATCAGTGAACAGGCCTGGCACGCAAGGAAAAACAGGATGGAGCCCATGCATAGTTTTCATTCTCTGGTGGGGTGAAAGCAGCACACTGAGTTAGGCTCATGGCTTCCCAACATGGAAAAGGGAAATGGGGTCTCCCTTTAGAATCCTTTAAAAAATATTTATTTGTATTTAAAGCCTGCGTGTATGTCTGGTATGAGGGTGTTGGTTTCCCTGGAACAGGAGTTACAGATATTTGTGAGCTGCCATGTGGGTGCTGGGAAACTGAACGTGGGTCCTCTGGAAGAGCAGCCTGTGCTCCTAACCACTGAGTCATCTCTCTAGATCCTCCCTCTAGAATCATAATCTCTGTGACGGGTCATTTCTGAATCCCATTTTTGTCTCTTCAAATACTTCTGTGCTGAGTAACTCACGGATGAGGTTTAAGGTCATCATGTGACTGATACTGTCCCCCAGGGCAGGGATGATGCGGGAGTGCAGTGGCAGGCTGCTGTGGTAGGGAGGCTATAGCATGCTGGCATCATCAGCAAGAAGTAGTGGTGGGTGTGGTATCAGTAACTATGGTACTGGGGATGCTAGGTTTGACCATGGTCAATTCAACTGACTACAATCTTACACCATATGCCCTTATGTTGGGCATAACCTCCAGGGCTAACATATGTCACTTAGAAAGGAAAGCCTTTACTGTGGCCTCAAGTGCTCATGTGACCTAACCTTTACCTGAATCTCCCAAAAATCCCTTCGCCAAACCTCCCTTGCTTACTCCTCTTCATTGGCTATGAACTACCACACACAATTTCCATGCCTTCTATTTACCACTACTGTTGCTTAGGACAGCTTACTGAATTCTGATATTTATTCCTTATTTTTTTTTGTGCTCTCCCAACTGAAGTGGAACCTCCATGAATGTAGCTTTCATTTTTGTTGATGGCTCCATCCAGATTCCGGCATGTAATGGACCTTCATTTAAAAATTAGTTGTGTGAATGTATGCATGTTTGCAGGAATGTGAGTGATGGCAGTACAGGAAGATGAGAAGTCACTATCACACTGCTGTTGATATCACCAAAGCCAAGGGCATTAAAGTTGGCCAGTGTGGCTCTGGGAGTGGGGTAGCTCACCTGCTTTTCTCACAAGGATAATGTCACTTTCTCTGGTCAGAGAGGCTCTTAGCTTTACATGCTGAAGTTCACAAACCGTCACAGCCTAGCCTTGTCTGAGAGGAGTGGCTGTGATCTACTACACCCTGCAAAGCCCTCTACCCATCCACCCTCCCACAGAACCATTCCGACAAAGTCTTTCCAAGGGAAACTCACATTCGCTTCAGCTTCTTGTACTGGGTGAAGGCTCCTGCAGGAATGGATTTGATGGAGTTCTGTTCGAGGCGTCTGGAGAACAGAGAAGAGAATAGTCATTAACCAACTACTCATCACCAAGGGACCACTGGGGGCGGTTACTGTATTCTCTGGCCTTGAGGTCAGGATGGCATTTTTTAGCACAAAGCACAAGGGCCCAAGGCATGTGTCCCAGTTGTGGGAGAACACTGCAGTAGCCACAGTGTTCAGCTGTTGGCCTGCGGAGCCTCATCCAGGGCTGTGGGAGAAAGCTGGAAAGAGGATCCAGGAGCTGCGATGCTTGCCCATTAGCAGTTGCCTTTGGAGACAGAATGCTGTAGGAAGCAACCAAGCAAAGTGCTGAAAAAGTCGATGTCACAAAGAAGGAAGAAAGAGATGGACCATGGGACAGCTGGGTTTCCCTGCCATGGAACCATGTTGCTATTTAGTTGACATCTCAACCACAGAGCTAATGGGCAGAGCTGTCAGCAGCTGATTTCATCTTGGCAGTTTTAATATTGTGGCAAAACAGCCTCAAAGTCTTCAGGCTTTCAGCAGGACATGCCTCAGACTGGCTCCCTGAGAACCTGCAAGTTTCAGGGCCCAGGCTGGACCCCTGAGTCGCTGCTGGAATGTGTACCATATACGTCACAAGAATTTTCTCAAATGCTTTTAGTCTTAGGATTATGGGAAGAATAGGGGATGCTGCAGGCCCAGAGCCCAGAACTTCCTGGGAAGAGAAGGGGCCATGGGGAGAAAGTGAGCCTTTCCATTCTTATTATTTCATCTCTCAAATGTCTTCCCACCACTAAGAACCGGTGTGGTGGGAAACAGGCATGAGCGGCAGGTGGGATGCTCTATTACAGATGATAAATGACACCCGAGCCCAGGCTGAGGACTCGGTACCTCATCCCCATCCATCTCCCTTCTCCCTGAGGTGCAGATCTTCTCATCAGCTCCTCATTTGGCATAGCTGCTCCCCAAACCCTCAGCTGGGAACACACACACACACACACACACACACACACACACACACACACACAGAGAGAGAGAGAGAGAGAGAGAGAGAGAGAGAGAGAGAGAGAGAGGAGAGAGAGAGAGAGAGAGAGAGAGAGAGAGAATGTTTGGAATGGGATATGTGGGGTGCCAGAGGGAGGGGGGGGGGGACCAGCTCCCTCAGAGACTATGTCTAGTGAATGCACACTTCTGGCAAGGAGGACCCATTCATCTTGAAGAGTAATCCCCACTGCAGAGTGGGGGAGACAGTCGTATTAATTTGTGCCTCCACGATCTCATCTTCATTGGGGGAACAGAGTATTTGTTACTGGAACCGCTAATGGAGCAGTTTGCCAGCAATTTTCCCATTTCAAACAACATCTCAGCTGCTAATGTGGAATGGTTTGTCAGGCCTACCCATAACACAGACAAATCACTCTCTAGGCAAAAGGAAGGGGGAACGAGAGGGAGCCCGAAGAGGAAGGGCGGGTGAGAGGAGAGGGAGCATCAGGACAGATCATTCTTGGCTGCTGGATGAACACGGTTTACAAATGAGACTGCCACGGTCTGTTAGCAATGTCTTTGTGCCCTGCTGGAGGGGGTGGGGACAGCACTTTCCTGGGACTGTAGTCAGAGGCATGTTGGACGGGGGCCTAGTTGGCTGACCGGCTGCTAGTGAGTCACCAAATCTCGCCAGAGGGATTCAGAGACCATGGGCTACTGAATACAGCCACCCACAGAGGCTGTCTTGACAGACTTCCCAAGGACATTCTCATTTTCCAACTGAGTAGAGAGTTCAGCAGAGATTCCTCAGTCAATGTAATGGCTCCATGGATCTCTGGGGTAATGCAACTCTCCGGCATCCTGTTAGTCACCTGCCACCCAGGAAAGGGATTCCATGGTTTGCTGCCTTCAGAGAGAAACATTGTCTACAAGGATGGTGACCCTTTTCCTTTTTTGGCAGGGGAATTCATGGCTCCTTGCTATAACTAGAAGCCTGTGTATGTGAAGCAACAGTAGGTGCAAGTTCTGTTGTCTATCTGTACAATTTGTAGTCAACCAGCCTCCACTTCGGCAAGTACTAAGGGAAGGGGTGCTCCAATAAGCAGGATGTGGTGCTGAACCTCAAGGACTTTTAAGAATCTCTTGGTAGAGCTGAATCACACAACTGAATTTCACTGCTACCACACAATCAAGGCAAACCATCATTTATGGAGTTGTGTTGTTTATGCCTATTATTTCTATGAACCCTTACAGATACAAGGCAAGCTGTACCGGCCCATTTGTAGACACGGCAAAGGGAGTCTCGAGGGATCGAGCAGCTTGTCAGAAAGAGCAAAGCTGGTTAGTGGTGGAATTAATGAGTCCTGTTTCTATCCGTTGGTCACACTGCTTGTCCCTATTATGAAAATGGGTAAATAGAGGCTTTCTCAAAGTCATGGAAAGTCGGGAGGCATTAGGACCCCAGGGACATCATGGATGTAGACTCTCAGTGGACAAACTCTCGGAGCTGATGGGACAGAGAAGTGACTACGCTTCAGCTCTCTGGATCTATGGGCTCCACGCTTACATATTCAACCAACTTTATTTTTTTAAGTTCATAAAAAGTCATCTTATTTAACATGGATAGACTTTCTGGCCATTATTTCCTAAGCAATACAGTCTACTTACACAGTATTGGCACCACTAGGTACTATGAATAGTTGAGAGGACTTACAATATACAGGGGGACGTTCATAGCTTATATCCATTCTATATAATGGATCTGAGCATCTGAGGATTAGGAGTTTCATGTAATCCCTGGAAGTATCCTACCCATGTACACATAACATGCATATTGGAGTACCAGGGAGTGAGGTTTGGACAAAAGACAAAGAACTCCAAACCTAGTCTATTACCCTGGCCAGAGACCTTGGCTTGCATCCTGCAATCCTCAGGGTTTCTTACTCTGGGAATGGGCTTTCTTTGTATTTCTCAGCCATTGGGCCCTTAACAGAGTGTCAAAGGCATGACATGCTCAGGAGGCAGTGAGACCTCTTTGATGGTGGTGGGGTAGTTGTGAATTGCCTGTGTCCCTTAAATAAAAAGAGGAGGGGAAGGATAACAACATTAAGAACTAACAAGTGTATAGAGGCCAGCCACTGCGCTTTGAATCTTACATAGCAAGTCAAACAATATCTACACATCTGTGAAGTACATCTGTTATTGCCGCCTCCCTTCTCTCCCTCCCTCCTTCCTTCTTTTGCAACACAATCTCCTTATATACCCCATGCAGGAATAGAACATGCTCTTCCTGCTATAGCCTTTCAAGGACTAGGATTACAGGCATGCACCACCATGCCACACAATTCCCTAACCCTACTTTAAACACAAGAGAGAGTTGCGGCCCAGAGAGGCAAAGACACTAGTGCCAAGTTAGGAGAAGCTAGAGCAGGGGTTTCAATTCAACTTCATCTATTCCAAAGCCCAGACTCTTGACCACTGGGTTCTATTGATCCACCATTCTCCTAGTCCTTGCCAGTTCACCTGCAGGGAAAATGGCCTTCCTGTCAGGACTGGGGGGGGGGGGCGCGGGCCTTCCTGTCAGGGCAGGGGGGGGTGTGCATGTGTACACGTGGATACACATGGGCACTCAGTCTCACAGAGCAAGGACCTTGAGGAGGTTGAACATGTCACCTGTCCTGCAGCTTGGAACAAGGAGACAACGATCCAGCCTCCCAGTGAAAACGCTCCATTGTAAAGAACAAAAAGAAGCCTAAGCATTAGCAAAATCTGTCACATTTCAGGCTATGTCTGAAGCCCACAGCTGTTTTAGGGCTCTCATAACTGGCACACGTGTCTTGCTTTGTCTGGCAAACATTCTTCAGGCTGCAAACAGATTTAATAGAGCTAGCATAAAAACAAACATACAAATCAAACATCCAAACATCTTCCTGCACCAGCAAAAACAATGGGAACATCTGATGGGGGATTTCAGCCATTTGCGCACTGTATTGATCTGCCCTAGTTCCTCAGGTGCTCCTTTAATGATATGTGTTTTGCAAACACGCAACTGAACACGATCTATTTCTGGCAATGCGTAAGTCACCATGATGGCAGGGCTTTGTTCAGTATGGGGGTGCGCTATAAGTCACCCTATAAAGGAGGTTCTTGGGCCATGTTGAGATGCTGGCGGTACTGGCAGCAATGACGGTATGATGAACGTCTAGCATTCATCAAGGGCTTTTGAATGTCAGACAGGGTGCCCTTCATACACTGGCTCACCTGTTCCTTTCTACGGTGCCACGAAGCATGCAGTGCTGTTACACTGTGTTATAGGAGTGGTTCAGGAAGTCATTTTGCCCAAGACCACTAAGAAGCCAGGCTGCTGTGACCCAAGTACCTGGCTCTTTAACTCTAGGCTCTACTATCTCAGGGTTGGGAAATAGAGAAGTTTTATTCTTTTAGTCCTTGCCAGTTAAGGAGTTTCCTAATTGTTAGTGCTCTTAGTTCCCCCTGACTCAATCTCTCTCTCTCTCTCTCTCTCTCTCTCTCTCTCTCTCTCTCTCTCTCTCTCTCTCTGTCTCTCTCTCTCTCTCTCTCTCTCTAATATACATGTACATGTGTTATGTGTGTACATGCATTTGGAGGTTGGAGGTTGGTGTTGGGTCTCTTCCTCCATCAAGCTCCACCTTTATTTTTGGATACCGTCTCTCACTGAACCTGCAGCCATCCATTCAGCTAGTCTGACTGGTCAATGAGCTCCTGGGATCTGCCTCACTGCCATGTCTCATGCCCTACTTTTTATGTGGCTTGTGAGGATCTGAACTCGGATCCTCGTGCCTAAGCAGCGGGCACTTCATGTCAGGTCCCGAGGGCTTTGACTTGGGACTCTTGTTAGGATATCTAGACCCTGGGGAAGGAAGGGAATTTCATGTTTACTTCTTTCCCAAGTCATCCTGAGACATTTGCTTGGAGACCATACAAGAACCCAGAGTTCAGAAGTTCAGTTCTTGACACATGACACCTTTCAAGGTGTACCCTGAGCCTTAATTTATATATTGGGTCTACAGCAAAACTGAGGGATGTGGGTGAATCTTACATACTCCATCTCTAATGGACTGTCTGCTAACAGCTGGCACTGCCTACGGAACACAGAGGTAGGTGCGGGCCAAGTGCCAGAGTTGCTCTTCTTATGGAATGTGCCTGCAGATGTGTGCAGATGCTCCCAGAGAACATTCTTTAATCTTAAGAAAAAAAATGAATGGTGTAGGAATTTGAGACGGAATTATGCTAGCATGTCACACATATATGAACAGGGTTTTGCGGTTCACATTCCATTTTTAGTAACTTCCCAACACTGTGCCAACCTTCCAGGTTATGCCACTCAGTCACCACAGGAAGTCTTGATAGCCTGCATTTACCAAAGGGGCTCCTGGATAAGACATGAGGTGTTAAGAAATGTGCCTGAAGTCAGATAAAAGCAGGATTCAAGTGCAAGATGGTTGACCCTAAGGCTCTGAACCATCCTGGGTCCTGATCACTTTCTTCATATAGCCAGCACCTGCTCCCATACCTGTACCCGGTTTCTACCCCAACCCAGGTCAGTGCCTCAGAAATCTGGTGCTGTCAAACATCTAAGTATCCAGGATGCTTAGACATCTGCAGTGTTCTGGCTGTCTGTTTGGCTGGTCATTTTATTTTTAATTACACAACCTTTGTTAAGCCTCAAGTGTAGCTAAGCCAGTGTCTTCTCATGTCAGCTGACTATGAGGGTATGTGTTCCTTCCAGATGTCCACTTACAACTTCCTGCTGAAATCCATCTACAGCATTCCCCATCAAATCAGTTTTCCTTCCATGGGAAAGGACACAAGACACTAGAGGACGCCACACAGAGATTCAGAGCAAACGTGGACGAGATGGGGCTGAGAATCAGAAGGTACTCTTCATACAGATGGCCCCTCTGGAGCGTTTGAAGGCCCAGGAGGGAGTCTGCAGACCGAGATCAGAAGTGTGTGGGCCTCTGGTTCCTCCTTGAGTCTTTCCTGGCTGGAGGCTGGAGCCAGTTCAGAGAAACACCAGGGAGCTACGTGAACAGTGCCCTTGATGAGAGCCGAGTTTCGAGGAAAATCTACAGCAAACCCTCTTACTGTGGGTTTTCTGGAAGAAAGCTATTTTTAGAGAAATTGGCTCTGGTATGCGAGGAGACCAGCACACACTTCTCTGGAAAAAAAAATCTAAAAGAGTCTGCCAGCTTGCTTTGCATGAGAGATAGGCACTCCTTCCAAATGCCTAGAGTGTGGACTGTTTCCCAAGGTTAAGACGATTTAAAAAAGAATCTGCAATGGCTATGGATGGAGAAGAGGAAGTGGGGAGTCTGGCACCATGCCAAGTATTCGTAAGTGGGAGGACATGAATCTGGATTCTAGGCAGCCATGGGCAAGAGGTGGAATTCTTGATATTAGAGAGAAGGCCAGGTTCCAACATCTCTAGGCTGATAAATCAAACACACCTTCTCTGCTGAGCTGCATCCTGCTGTTTCCAGCCCGCTCCTCTTCCCTCCTCTCATGGCTCACCCGCTGGTGTTCTATCATCACTACAAGGACATACTTCAGCTGCCTCAGAGACTTTGGGCTAACACACAGGTCCCCAAGGCCGGGCACTGCTGGTGCTCCCTACTGCACAGTCTCTCTTACACATCACCGTTCAAACTCCTCCCCTGAACCACGGGGACTTAATTCATCTGCTTTAATCTCTCAGCTCGTTTCATGACAGAGGAGAATGAGGCAAGCGCAGCGAGAGAAGTCCCGTGTGATCCATCTGGTAGACAGTGGGTGCCCAATAAGCAGGGGCAACCTTATTACCATGTCTGCATATATTTGCATGATGATGAGCTACTCTCAAGTTCAAGTCACACGGTTTGTGGCTAGCCTCGGTCTACAATCAATCCTCGACTCATAACTCTCAAAAGAACTGACTGTCTTCGTGGAGGCCCCTGATCAGTAGGTGCCTCCTAGGATATGCTTCCTGCCTCTTGTCACCACTAAGAATGAAAGTGGTGGTGATGTTGCAGTAGCTATGGTTGGGAAATAATGATTATGGCTAACAGTGTATCTTCTGTGTGGGACACAATGCCAAGCATCTCACAGTACATGCCATTTATGAAGCACTCAGAAAGTACCATCAGCCTCTGAAGTTCTCAGGTAAGAGAAGGAAGACTCGGAAGATTTATTTGCCATGGCTACAAGGCAAGGCCAGAGGTAGCACAGGGGTCTGCTGGGGCATACCACCTTAACCTCCAGGTTGGGATGGGTCTGCTGGAGCATACCACCTTAACCTCCAGGTTGGGATGGGTCTGCTGGAGCATACCATCTCAGCCTCCAGGTTGTGATGGGACTGATGGAGCATACCATCATAACCACCATATGGTATTGTCCTATCTAGGCTGTCCATTCCTAGACTTTGTGATTTTATAAACTAGGTCGTTACAGATTTATTTATAAATTATCCATAAAAGGTAATCTGTATGCATGTGTATTATATAATGCATACACATATTCTGTCTGCAGTGCCCATCATTTTGAAAAATAAATGGCATTTTTGATAACAGTAAAAAGAAGGAAGTCTGGAAGTTTAAAGGATGCTGCTTTAAAATGGCATTTTTTTGCTCAATTAAAAAACAACTACCACATTGTTCTTGACTTTATTCCTTTAACTTGCAGTGGTTAAAAACTCAAGAATCATCTCATATTAACATCCTTGTTTGTCAATGTTTGTCTTAATTATCAATGTCCAAATGAGAGTCCAGTCATCTGGGTGTAGTCTGGCCGGTATAGGATACACTTTTAATGTAGGCACCTGCTGTTTTGAACTTCTGGAGACCTGAGTTGACCTGTGAGGTCCACACTTGGGGATACATGGGAAGCTGGAGAGGAGGGGAGACAGACTGGGATGGGGCAGCATCCCCTGATACAGCCTGACAGTTTAACTTGGCCTCTTCCTTTAGGCTGTGAGTTAGTGTCTTGGCCAAGAGGAAGGTCTCTGGGTGCCAAAGAAAAAATATATAAAACCTGTCAGGTGAAAGGAAAGAACTAAAGAAGACTGGGGCCAAACCACAGGGATCTGCAAGGATGTGAGGGTGGGCAGGTGCTCTTGCCTCTCACACTGAGAGGGCCAAAGTCCCGCCTGGCATGGGCAGAGGCCTCAGAGAAAGAAGAGCGTAGAACTACAAGGCAGAGGATGATGACGGGGCAGCGGGAGAGATGTGGGACGGTCATGGGGCTGGGGTGACGAAGGGAAGTGACACAGGAAGAGAGAAGCAGACAGATAGACAAGAGGAAGAAGCCAGAAGGGGAGAGGTGGGCAGGGCTCTGCAAACTGCAGAAGAGGGCTCTCTCCGGGTCTAGGGCAGAGCAGTGCGGATGGTTATGGCAGCGCACCATGACCAACCCACTTCCCCTCCTTAGCTCCTGCTACCCTTAGCTCCGCCCCTTGCTTCCTCTGCTTCAGTAACAATGGCCTCCTGGTATGCCAGACACACTTGCATGCACCTCAGGGCCTTTGCACATACCCCTCCCCCTACCTCTACCAATCTTGCTCCAGAGATCACTTTTGTTACACCCCCCCCCCCGCCCCTCGTCTGCGTCAGCTCCTTGGCTTGCCTCATCTTCTCCACATACCAGCCACTTTCTGACACACACACTTTATTATTTGATCTCTCTAGAACACACAGGCCCCAAAAGCAGACATCTTGTCTACATGGTTTGCTGCTGTCTCTCCAAGCACAGACAAGCTGCCGTACAAACACACAGATAAACGAAGTGGTGAATGGACCACGTACCGGAATGAGTTGAGAATAGAAGGGTAAGAACAGGGGAGGTGGAGGCAGCTGAGAGGCAAGGGAATCTACGACTTTGATTTTGAGGGATTTCATCCCAGGTTTAGAAGCCTCCATCGGGTGCTAACGGTAAAGATAGGAAATGAAGGCAACTGTGATCCTTTCAGGGCTGGCTCGAGGCCAATGCTGACTGCCACTCTACTCGCCCTAGAATGAGACAATGGCTATTTTATAACTCACGAGGGAAGATAAACAAGGCTGATTCACGGGGACACATCCTACTGCAGGTTCACATGTGCACACATGCGTGGACACACAGTCTTGTCTCTCTGCCTGAAGAGTTAATCTAAAGGACAAAGGTCTCATAGGAACGAGAAACAGCTATGAAACCAGTTCAGCATTTTAACTGCCTCTGCTACCATCACCATGGTACAGTCCCTTGCCCCTGTATGGAGGCCTCCACTGAGTGTTCACATTGAGTATTTCATCTTGTTTTCACCAAGAGCCACTGAAATTTAACACTACAATTATCAGGTTATCTCTGGTGAGAAAAACCAAAGAAAACATGGAAAACTAGTTTACCAAATACCAGCCAGTCAGCCAGTCAGTCAGACAGTATGCAGGAGATTCAGGGTATAGACTCCATCTGACCCCAGGCAGGGATTGACAGTTTACTGAAGAGGACCAGGCATAATACATTTTAGACTGTGTGCATTGTGTGATCTTTGGTCACAACTACTCTATACTGCCCCGAGAGACCAGCCAAAGACAGTATAAACAAATGGGGATGCATGTGTCCCAATAAAACTTTATTTGTAAAGAAGATGCTAGGTGGGTCTTCTATAGGATGCATGCAGCTTAATGATGCTATTCTTGAATCCATACTATTGACCACTGAGCCATTATAACTGATGAAAACCTAGAAGCCTAGAGAAGAGATTCCTGGGTGTTTTTAATGGCCACACTTAACAGCCCAACATTCTGATAGTCTATGTAGGGACTTACTTACTCAGGGAGGTGAACTAACTAGGGATGGAGGGACAACAAATGGGCACTTACATTTCCACGATGCCCTCTGGCAGGTTGGCAGGGATCTCTGTCAATCCCTTCCCTCGGCAGTCCACGATGTTATTACTGCACGTGCAAGCAGAAGGGCAGGACAAGGAGTTGGCATTGCAGGATGGAGCCTCGGAGTGGGGACCTGTGGAGCCAGAACGGAATGGTCAAGTCATGTCAGCCCTAGATGCTTCCTGGCATTGGGCCTCACTAGCAGCTTCCCCAGGATGCAGCTTCAGTGATAAGCAATCTGGTGAGTTACCATCAGTGGGCATCCCTCTCTTCTGGGAGACACAGAGAGGTTCTGGCCTTGACCCCACTATTTGTGGGTCATCTCATCTGCCCTAAATGCAAGAAATACATTGAAATGTCTTACGGACACTGGCAAAAATTTCCATGTCCACATGTTTAGGGGGATGCCTGGCAGGGCAGGAGCTTCCTAGAGTCAGGGTCATTGCCATTGGGTCTTTGGCTGCCTCCAGTTGTCTGAGAGTTCTTGGGTAAGTGGCAAAGCCGAGCTTTTCTGCTCCTATCTCTGCAGATGAGGACTGGGGAAGACACATTCTGAGGTCCTCAGTGGAGCTGCTAAGCCACCTGACCTTCAGAACAATGGATGTGGCAGGTATGGGACACCTCGAGGTGTGTTTTAGTCTCACTTCTTCCTGCAAAGTCTACAGAGGGTCCAGCATGGATACACCCTATCATCCTCATCAGTAAGAAGAAGTCTGGGAACGGCTGGCCCCCGATGCCAGTGTAGATGACTTTCCCCAAGGAAAACTGCCAGACCAGGCCTTCTACATCAAGGGGTGAACGCAAAGGACCGAGCTAGGAGAACTGCAACACCCTGGACATCTATCTTCCTGTAGGGGAAATGCTGGCTCGAGTCTGCCAACTCCACCCATTCAGGCACAAGGGATGTGAGGATGGCCCCTCTTTGGAGCAGGCAAAATATTACTTGCTGAGTATGCGTCAGAAAAGGGGGGGCATCAAATTAGAGGGCTCCTGTTGGCAACAGGAGCTTGTGACATGGATTTTTTCAAAGGCGCCCCTCTGACATCTATGTTGAAATAAATTAATTTAAAGCAGACTCAGGTAGCAGTCCCCTGGGAACTGGCTGAGTCTTCCCTGGGTGGTTCTAAGTCAGCTGGTGGTATACACTTTGTTTCAAGTCATGTTGTCAAGGCAAAAAGAAAAAAAAAACTTCAAAAGATTCCTTAACCAGGTCACTAATAACACTTTTAATTACATAGAAAAAAAAAACAACAACAGTAATTATAGCGTCCGTCAGCACCCTAGGCTGGCGGCTCCCCAGGCAGGCATTCACCACCTCATTGTGGGGAGGCCAATACCTCCTGGTTTAAACACTCCAGGTTCAATCTGATTGAAAGACAGATTTCCTCCCTCTGCTAGCACATCCCTCTGATGAATGACTAAAGAACCAGGTTCAGTCCCCTAAAGGCCTGGGTGTCTGTAAAGCGATGGCGGAAGTCCCAGCCCTTTGCTGCCTCTGTGCAGACTGAGAATGTAAATTCTTTAGTCTTACTGTTATGTTCTCATGGTTTACAACAGGCCTCAGCACCAAATAAACTTAATAGATATACTGTATAATAAGGACTGACACATGAATGGATTGGCTTCGGGGCCTGGAAGAGGTAGGGGAGGTGTCCCCAAGTTACTGAGGTGGGAGTTACTCCTGGATGCCCCTGAGGAAAGGCTCCCTGGGTTCTGAGTGTCCTGGCTCTGGGAGGCGGGTTCAGGCGTTGAGTGGGAGACAGAGTGGCCACGGAAGTTGGGACCTCTTCCTGATGTTCACTCTTCCTACCACAGTTCAGTGCTGGCAAAGCCCTTACCCAGTACATGGCCTGGTGTCTTGAGGCACAGTAGAGTAGCACATGGGACAACAGATGCACCAGCCCTTCCTTACGTGACACAAACATCAGGTTTTCAGAGATGAGGAGCATGGGGGTGAAGAGGAAGAGGCAGGAAGGGTCCCCAGCTAAACCTCTGCTCAGGAAGGTTGCTGTGACTGTGGGCACAGGCACAGTAGTGCATTAGTGCTGTCCACACAGGTCCTCTCCTAGTGCCCAGAGAGAAGGAAGTAGGGCCTCTGACTAGAAGCTGGCCCCTGCTCAGCGGTCACTTCATCTTTGCTCTTCTCCTAACTGGCAAAATGGGATGGTCTAAAATTGCAAGGCCCAAGCTTGTCTGCCCAGATGTTGGGCTTTGCTCTCAGATGGGCCCATGGAGATGCCAAGAATGGCATCAGCAGCCAGCGCCCAAGAGATAGAGACCACACTGCATTCAAAGCCCTGGATATGTGATACCACAGGATCCTCAGTGACCCTGTGATCTGAGATCTACCTTTGCCATTCCCTTTACATTGATGAGGAACCTGAAAAATACAAAGGTTAAAGAAACTACCTAAAATCATAGGACCATGGAACAACATGGTTCTCACATCTGGCTGAACATTTTTCTCTCTCTTTTGGCATAGAAAAAAAAATAACCCACCTTAAATGCTGTGGTTTATTGCTACAGAATTGAGAATCCACGAAGCCTGGGAGCCTTGGGAGGCGGGAGGAGGGGCCAAGACAAGGGCTGTGTAAGCTACACTAGTGAGGGGCAAACACTCTGGTGTTTCTTTCTTTCTGATTGAAACAAAAATCACCCAGTAGAGTGCAGAGTAAAAATATCCAATGGCCTTGTGAGTATGTTGAAATAAATTAATTCCAGTATTCAAATTAAGCTTCCCAACTGGCCTCTGGCCTTTCAAAAGCCAACAACAAGACTGCAGTGACAAAGGAACTCCAGCAATTACGATGAGAATATAAATGAACATGATTTAAATACCAGAGGCATGATAATTTTGGAAATGGCTAAATAAACCTAATAATCTCATTCCTGCAATGTTCAATTATGGTATTTTAATTAAAACCTCCTAAGGAGAGGGGTGGCTAGACTCAGGCTACCTTAATTATCTTTATACTTAGTAACTAGTCTCAAATAGAAAGAAAGAAAATGAGAATGAAAGAAAGTTTCTGTTTCCAGGGAGATAAGTACATTTTATTTTTTTAATGGTAAAGAGAAAATTGATGGAGAGGCTGTTGGGATTCAGCATTGTTTAGGGGCACCAGAAAAAAAAAAGAGATCTGTCCTTTACTACTGGAAGGTAAGATTGATATCTTTATGAAAAGATATTTCATATTCAAGGCCACAGGTCTGAAATGGATAAACAAATCAATGGGCTCAAAGACATTCAAAGGAAAGAGATAATTGATTCAGGAGGTCAAATAGTTAACAAATAGCCATAAATTATGTATAATGACAGGTAGGAACTCTCTGAGATTAAGATATCAGGAAAGGAACACATACATGGTAAGATAAATCTTAGAATATGAACTCCCCAATAAGACGGTTAAATGAAGATGAAGAAAAAAAAAACCTTACACATTATGTGACATGAAGCCTTTTTCTAATGTGTTACACACTTTGATAAAATTCTGGTATGTTCCAAGGGACAAGCAGATGAAACATGGCCTGTGGGTCCTTAAAGCCCTCAGGCTCTAGAAACAAAAGATGCTGACAGAGAAATCCTTCAGTTATCACTGAAGGCAGCCCAGCAAGGCAGAATGTACCACATAGAAGTCACTCTGATAAATGATAAAATGGAGACGCATTCCCCTCACCCTGGTTTGAAAAAAAAAAAGGGTCCAATTGCCTCCCCAAAGGGAGGGAATAAATGTCTTAGACTGGAAGGGTACAGTTGACAGGCGGTGTGTTTGCTAAGCACGCTGCTGGCAGAGTTCTGGTTAGCTGGAGAGATAATGTGCCCATCCCCACAGCTTCTCGGTGGTGAGGGGAGAGGAGTTGAGGTGAGGGGAAGCAAGGGAAGGCCAGACTCCGATGGCTGGATTTAATTCAAGGGTGCTTGCTATCAGACTTGGGCAGCCAGGGCCTCCCAGCTGAGAAAGAGAGGTCTTCCCTATCTCTGGAGTTGTATTTGGGGGAAGGTGGATTTAATTCATGGGTGCTATCAGGGACTTGGGCAGCCAGGGCCTCCCTGCTGAGTAAGAGAAGGTCTTTCCTATCTCTGGAATTGTGTTTGGGGGGAGGTTTAGCTACCACAGAAGGGCTCAGGGAGTTTTTCTCCTGTTGCTTTGACAGGGGAATCTGGGGATGGAGCTACAGGCACAGGAGACTTAACTAATGTTTCATGTGGTCTGTTGCTCCTGAGCGACTACATCATTCCAAAGTTTTTGTCCCTCACTGAAGCCCCCTCGGGGAGCTGTTAAATTTCTGTTTGGGCAATCACAGCCAGGTCCCCATCAGGCAGCCTCACTCAGATGCCTTGCTGGGCTCTGGCCTGAGGTGGGTGGGTCTGTATCCTCCATGGTGGTGCACTCAAGGGTGGCGAGGACCTAGGACAGCCCTTCTCTGTGACCTTCTCAGGGTCTCCCAGACTGGCCACTGCTGTCTTAATAGTCTTGTTCCACACCGATTCCTCCAGCATCCCTTACCATAGTCTTATAAACTACCTATCATACAGAGGAGGCAACACTTGTGTGGAACCTCTGGTAACTCACTCATCATGGTGGTGTCCATTCCTCACAGGGGCTCAACACACCAGATCCCCCAAGCACTGTAACTAACTATTTGACCTTTTCTAAAGCATCCACTCAGAACAGTTTGTGTCTTAACCCTTGGGTGTCTGACAAGTCCCTGAAATAACCCTTTGCCCATAGGGTCGGTCCCCCTGAATCAATGCCCTAAGTGGGTACTACAGGTGACAGGGCGAGATTCAGAGCTTACTGTTGTCTAGAGATGGGGGTGGGGGGTATTCTCATGTCCTCAAAGGACATCTGGCCTCATGTTAGAAATGACAAGGACTGTCATGTGCAGTGGGCGCGGCTGCTCTAATCAGGGAAGGGATAAAGATGTTCTGTTCCTACATTTAGCCAAGGAAACTGCTGCTAGAGGTAGGCTTTTCCAAGGGCTAGGGTCAGGCACCGGCATTTCTAGGACTGTGGCTGGGCAACCCTATCCTCGCGGGGCTTGGATGCTGACTGCTGTTGGATGCCAGTGTCTGGGCAGTGCGCTGACAGGAGGAGGCAGCTTTCGCGACAGAGAGGCACTCACGGTCACATGCCACTTCACTCTCAGCACCCACCCGTCATGTAGTGTTTTTACATTCTCCCTAATTAGTTTTCCTCCGGAGCTCTGGGATGGCTCCTGCACTCTGTAATTATTTCTTTCACTGGCACTTATGCCGATATTGCACCCTTTGCCTGATAATTACTGTAATTATAGTCACTATATTTGAATTTGGTGCCTGTGTGATAAACGGTTTTATTATATGTGTTTGATGGGAAGTGATTTCTAAGTGGGCGTCCATAGGAAGTTATTGAGGTACTACTTAGAGATGTGTTAAAATGTTTTCGGGGAATAAATAACGTGACGAAGTGGTAACGTGGCAGGGAAAGGGCAGAGAAGAGAGAGGAGGGGCTTGGTGAATTCGGGAACTGAATGATTCACACACACAAGTCTATAGCCTTGGCATCCCGGGGCCTAGATGTTTGTTAATTGAGTTTGTTAGGCCCTCAGTGCGGTACTGGTGAGTGAGTGAGCGAGTGAGTGTGTGTGTGTGTGTGTGTGTGTGTGTGTGTGTCGTGTCTGTCTGTCTGTCTGTCTGTCTTGATCAACCTGATACAAGCTGGAGTTACTCGGGAAACTAAATTGAGAAAATGCTTTCATTAGATGGGCCTCTAAGGAAGTGTATAGGGCATTTTCTTGACTGATGATTAATAGGCAGGTAGCCCTGGGTTGTATAAGAAACTAGAGGAAGCCATGGGGGAAGAAAGCCACTGAGCAGTGTTCTTCCACAGTTTCTGTCCTGACTCCCCTCAGTGATGAACTGTAAGGTGTAAATGAACTTAAATCCATCCCTCCTCAAGTTGTTTCTGCCTGATGTTTTATCACAGCAGAATAAAGCAAACTAGGACACAACGGAAAGTGGACAAGAGCTGAGAAGAGAAAGAAATGCTAGGTGGGCTCCTTGTGTGCCCGGGCTACCCAGGCTCAGCTTTTCAAAAGCTAGTGGACTCCAACCCAGGACTGGGTCCCTGGAAACCTATGTGACTCTTAGGGGATCATGTGTGTGTTTTCCCTCCCTCCCCCAAAGTCCAGGACTTAGCTCTACTTGTTTGCCATCAGAAGAGTTGGTAGAAGCAAACAGAATTTAGGCTCCAGTTTAAGAGTTATGCCCTCTGGGAAGAGAATGGGCCACTCAGCCGCCTTCCATTCTTGAAGATTCGAATTCTTATGTGCCTGTGTGCTTCAATTCCGAGTGCTATATAGGCAATATGGACCTCTATTATACCCCAGTCACCCACAGATCAAGCCCTTATGTTTGCTCAGCACATCCTGTAGGCCCACTAAGCTATAGTAATCAAACTTCACTTATCTCGCTTTTACCAAGTATTAGGCTAAGTGCTCTATATTCATTATTTTACCTAATCCTCCCATCTACTCTTAGAGCTGTGTTTTAGAATTATTTCTATTTCAGGTGAGTGATAACTTGCTAAAATCACACATCAGTAAGGGGAGGGGGAGCTAGGACTTCTAGCTAGACAGGCTTAGTCCTGGGCCTGCGTCATCCCGTCTCCCCATTTCTGCAGGCATTTAGGTGGCAGAGGGTGTGTAGTCAATTTGGAAACACCACCATTACACCTGCATCCTGATGACACGCTGCTCATCAAATTTGAGGTTTCCTAGTGCCAGGGGACTCTGGGGCTCAGCAGAGAGTGATTAATGAGTTCTTTTAGTGTCTTCTGTCCTAGATGCCAACAGACCCTCTCTTGGAGATCCTAGCAGAATGCAAGCTCTTACTGCACACCTCAGCTGACTATGGGGTTCCTTCTGCACCAATCCCTGGCATGGACATGGCCAGGACCAGGGGACGCATGGGCACATGGATCTTAGCTTAGGAGGGGAGAGCAAGGAAGGCAGGCTCACCTGGACACACGTACTCCTTCTTCTGCACATCTGCTACATTGAAGCCTCTCAGGTGCACGGGAGCCATGCAGAGGGTGAACTGGCCAACTGTCCGCCGCTGTCGTAGCCAATCTGAGAGCCAGGCCAAGTGACAATCACAGTACAGATGGTTGGAGTGGAGACGCCTGGGAGAAGAGGAGAGAGATGCCATTACATGGAGAAGAGAGTGGGCTAGACCGCTGGGGCCCCTCTCCCCAGCATGATTATTTACATGAGCCTAGGGCCGCATTCCTGACCCCTATGCACAGGAAAAGAAACCGGAAGCCACCAATAACTTCATGGGTAGGCCATGGTCAATAGTTTGGATCCTGGAGGTTCTGAGCAATTTCCACGTCTTCAGAGTAATTCTGCTCTTCTCCTCTCCATGCAAGCAAGCATCAGCACAGAGGAGAGGGGGGATGACATCACTGCAGCGTGATGACAGACAATGATACCACCCATCCTGGTTTGAGTCAGACAGAGTGACTGCCACACTGGAGTGTAGGACTTCTCGCTGATTTAGGTGGAGTTCCGTTTCCCCTCCGGCTCTGTGGGGGCTGTGGGACTAAGATCTGCGACAGCCTTCACTACCTCTCCTTCACTGCCTCCTATGTGTCCTTCATGATCCCACAGCATGAAATGTGGGGAGCTCTGAGCCAGTGCCAGCGGTGAGGAGGCAGAGAAGGGGCCTTTTGGAGGACATTCCTTCTCGCTACCCTCCTGGTAAATAAGGTGTTGTTCTGAGCAGGATCTTTAATCCTTCACACTCTCCAGGGCGCCTGCCTTCTCCTTGTCAAGATCTATTTTGCCTGGTGGTTTCCTACTCAGAGACTTATATTGGTGCCTTTGCAGGGACTTCCTAACCACTTCTAGATGATGGCTCTTTGGTGGGAGCTGTGATTCCAGATCAGTTTCTTGCTCTTGAGAGGGCAGGTTTCCCTAGATGGAGGACAGGTTTCCCTAGAGTGACCCGCCTGTTCTACTTCCCAGGGGAATCCCTTCTGGCTAAGTGACTTGAACTTCCTCCTATGAGCTGGGAGGCAAACTGAGGACACCCAGTAGCTTCTAGAGGGCTCTCCTTAAGGACTCCATGCCAGCATTTCAAACTTCCATAGTCCCCACAGTTGTTAGAATTGGCGGCACGTGAGTTTTAGTAGCATGAGACTCAGGTTTCATTGTAAATTTCCTGAACACACTAATCAGCCAGCTGTTACCTTGGGCCTGTCGAGAGCCTAGTGTCAGGCCCATTAATACAGCGCAGCAGCCCATAGGAGTGGCTTGGATCATGTCTGTACTATAATGAGAGAACTGAAGGGCCCTTGACCGCATCCCACTTAGCGCAAGGTCAACATTGCCAAGCACTAGCCAAGTGCAGCTAACTCAGGCTGTGTGCTGGCAGAGCCTCTGTCACCATTGGGCACAGAACTCCAGCAGGCCAGGTCCACAGTGGCTTGGCTGTCCCAAATCCCATGTGGATTAAATGAACCCCACATTTATATAAAATGTAAAACATCTTTTTTTTGCTGGACATATTTATAGATATCAAGTACTTTTTGTATTTCAGGGTAAGTCAGATATTCTTTCAGAAGTTCCACAGCCCTAGACACAGAAACTACAGGGTCCTAGCACACCTTCCCCCTTTAGTTTCCAAGACTAAACCCTCTGAGCTCATGCAAGCATGGCCTCCCCTAAGTCTGGGTTCTGAATGCTGTAAAACAATTGGGAAGGGCAGTGTGGTCAAAGTCCCAAGGCAGAGGGAAACACCTCAAAGGGAGGAGGGTAGGCAGGACCTCCGACTGCTAATGGGCATAATCACCTTGTGCCAAGAGCAAAGGGAAGACTACTTATCCTTTCCTAAACACCAGGCCCACCAGGAAGCAGTGGTGCTTTGGCAAATAACACAGCGGCTCTGTGAGGGAAAAGAGGCACACAGGGCAGCCTGCTGTGTAGCATAGGCTGAGGGGAGGGGATTCTACTTCTGCCAGGAGACCCAGCCAGTTAATCAGCTTGCCTTTTATGTGCCCTGTTTGGTAGTAACACGATGATGTTAAGACAACAGAGATGACTTCCAGACAGGCGTTGGTCTCCGAGGTGGCTAAATCAGAACAAGTTCCCATCAGCTCCAATTGAGGGTGGAGATTTTAACAGGACTAGAATGAGGTTTAGGCACACCCGGGTTTTTGTCGGACGCTTCATTTCTGGCTTAGCCAAAAAGTTGGAGGCTTCCCTTTTGAAGATGGTGTTAAGTGAGTTCTTTCTCAGCCCTCAAATCACCGCTCTTTTCAATCTTGTTACAGCTGTTTCTATCCCTCTGTCCATCTTCCCAAGACCTTCTCCATTCCAAAGTGGGATCACAGAAAAGTAGTGACCTCAACTGATACAGGAGCCACATGGAGCTTTCATCAGAAAGCCCTGGGCTGGGGACAGGCTGGGCTCCCTCCATTAGGAATATTATCTATCAGAAATGATGGCAGGGTCAAGCTAGACAGATTCTTTAAAGTCGTCTTTCACACCATACTTGGAAGATAAAACGGGGCAACACTGCTCCAGATAATATGCATGCTTTTTATTTGTGTGTGTATCTGTGAGTACAATGCATGAATGTATGGTGTGTGTGTGTGTGTGTGAGTACGTGAACGTGGGTGTGTATGTGACATAGAGCACACGTGGAGGTCAGAGAACAACCTAGGGTGTCAGTCCTTGCCTTCTTTTGTGCTGAGACAGTCTCTGTGGCCTGCCCCAGTGCAAGCCAGGCTAGCTGGCTAACACGCTTCTAGGGGTTCTCTGCCTTCCATCTTACCCTAGGGGCACCAGAATTACACACCAGTTGTATACTATCATGCTGGCTTACCAAGTACTATTTTTTAAGAATAATCACAAGCATCATGAAATTTGGTGTGGAGACTGCTAGGAAGGGTTAAAATCCTCTGGGTAAGAAGGGAGATTATTTAATTGCATTCCACCATTTTAAGCTGTGAGGGGGATGACATAAGGTCCCAGACCATGTGGAAGCTCCGGTCTCTCCCAAGGACGGATGCTCTGCTCATCTGGCCCCATCCATGTTCTGTTTGTTTTCCACCCCTCTGGGTGATGTGAGCCCTGGCTCTGATGTCAAATTATCTAATATTGGCCCTGGCTCCTGCTTTCTGACTTTGATTTGACCTCAGTGCTACCAGCTATAAAATGGGAAGGACCACTCTGTGGGTTGAAGTTAACTCACAGGGAGAGCTTCACACAAGGCCTGGCCCATGGTAGGACCATGAAAGAAATATTTGTTGCTGTCACGAGTCCAGGAACAGTGGATTTGAGTCTCTTCCCAAACCATGGCCTGTCTGTTTGTGGCTGCTGCTGCTTATACAGATATGGAAGCATCCAGGTGGCTGGGGTCCCTGCGTGCTGTTATGTGATTTTTGAAGATGGGCACACCATACTCCACACAGATGAGACCACCTCTGTGGAGCAGAAGGCGAATGAATACAAATGCCAATTTACAAAAGGTGCCTTTTAGCCACAGATGCCAAATTAAATTTCCAGCAAATCCTTTTAGAGAGGGTCAGTGTACATTTTCCATCAAATGTGGCTTTCTGAATTCTATGTAAAAGCTTTCCTTTGGAAATCCCATTTATGACTTCCTTCCTCTCCCCTCTGCCCTCCTTCTCCAACACCAGTCACCCACCCCCAACGCTTTAATTACAGTGAAGGGGGATTAGTCAGCTCGTCCCCAGGGAGTTCTGTACAGAGCCATCTCTGAATTAAACTAAAGAGAAAATGGCAGCAGGCAGGGAGCAAAGGGACAGACAAGATTGACTGATTGATCTGAACTCATCAGACGGATGTTTGGTACCAAAGAGAAAAATCACAAGAGAAATGAGATAAAACTCCTTACTCACTTCCCCTCCTCAACGTGCCCCAAGCAGGCACCCAAGATCCTAGGCCAGCCACCTCCTTCAGTTCCTGTGGACCTATCCCCCCACACACACACCACTGATGTTGAAGAAGGCACAGAGGGAAGCCTGTCACAGAGGAAGTATCAGGAGGTGCTGCAAAGCTGCATTCCTCTGCTTTGGGAAAACAGGCCCAGCATCCTCAGGCTCACTTCTGACTTCCTGTTTTGGAACCTGGGCTCCACGCTTCCTCAGCTTCATTGTGGTTTGCTAGGTTCTCAGAAGACCAAATGGTGTCTCCTTAAAATGCTATTAACGTACCACTCCATTTTCAGAGGGAGGGAAAATGACTCATTTTCCTAGTGTGTTGTCATCTGAGGGTACCCAACAGGAATCTGGGAGCAGAGATGGGAGTCTGGGATGGCAACTGTTGGTAATAACTAACACCACTGTGCTCACCTGCAATAAGCACTTACCATGCCACACCACAGTGCGCCCTCACAGTGACTCTAACGTAAGCATGTCTTATTAAGTCCCTGCCCCAAAGCACAGAAAGATGAAGATATGTCCTCAGTAAGTGGTGGAGCCTGCATGCAAACTCAGATCTGCCCGCTCCGAAATGCTCTGCACTGCTTTCTCACCCATCCCTTCCTTGGTCTTTGTTTTACTCTCACCTAGAGATAAGCTCACTCCCTCAGGAATGCATTGGCTCAAAGGCTCACTGCCAACAGATTTATGGGCAAGACCCCAAGAGGTCTCCACCCCACAGGCCCGTGGTTGGGCCTGGGACTTTTGTTTTTGAGAAAGTTCCAGATGGTTTTGAGCTGCTGGTCTGGGGAGTGCTGCTCAGGGGATTTCCATTCTCTTGATTTCATGTTGTCCGAGGAGCACGGAGGAGCTTGCAACGGTCAGCCCACATTTCTAGATAACTGTGTGGTGATGATATATAATGCCATCTATTATCTACCAGGTGCTGGACACTGTTCAGTTCCATCCACTCTTCACCACCAGCCACATTCATAGAAGAAGGGAGAGCGGTCAGAGAGCCAATCAAGGGCAAAGGGCATCGCAGGTCTTTGCTTTGGTCCTAAATGTACTTAGCTAAAAGCTGTCAGAGGCTGGCTGTCCCTTTCTGCTGTGATGCAAATACTCTGAAAGATGAGAACATCAAGCAGGAACCTCTTTGAAAAAGCCAACTAGGTTCTAGTGCAGAAAAACTTACAAGTGGGTTACTGGCTGAATTTAGAGTGACCCAGATAACAAGAGTCATGGGCATGCTTCTGGAGCATCCAACCCGAAGGCTTAATCTTATCTAAGACATTAAAAGATGAAGCACCAAGTTAGTGTATTCTAACATCCAAACGTTGTTCGGAGAGCAGGGACAGGTAGCAGGTGCCACCTTGGTGGGATAGCGAAAGGGCAAAGATTCCTCCTCCATTCCCAGGAGGGAAAATCACATTATGACAGAACCACCAGTGGGATATGGCACGGGCATGAGTGAAGTCAGTGGTGGCAGCGGTGGGGGCGGGGAGGCTGTCTCATCACATAAGTTTTCTGTTTTTAACTAAGTAGCTTTTGGCAACATAAAACTAACAAATTTTCTATCAAACACCACAAGCACAGTGCAGGAAGGCTTCTCCCAGTTTCCGGTGATAAGAAATGAGTTTCCCAGGCACAGAATGGCAGCTAGGAATCATGGCTGCACCACGACCCTGCCCTGCACCTGCCTTCACTCACTAAGTCCCCCCCACACACTTGCTTTAGGACTTTGGATGTGGGAGCCGTGTGCCCATTCACAGCCAAGTAGGTTTTGCAAGCAGAGACAGCAGCCCCTGGGGCTGCTTAAGGTAGGAGACAGGTGGGAGGAAGCAGAGTCTTTACTCACAGAGTCCGAATCTTCGGCATGTGGTTGAAGCTGGTGACCAGGATGCGGCTAATGTTGTTGTTGTTGAGGGTGCTGTGGAGACAGAGGAAAAGGAAGTTACGAATGAGGGCCACTGAGATGTTCCTAAGTGTTGGGGAGGAATGGATATATGGCCATTAAAAAAAAGGTCAACAACTAAGAGTCACAGCACCCAAGTGAAACTCTCTAGATGATGGGGCATCTCAAGTCCTGATTCGTGTAGGTTCCCCCACCATCCACGAGCAACAAGTCCCTGACTCAATCTTGCTATGTGATGAATGCCTCGTTACAATACCTTTCATTCTTTTTGTTTTGAAAGAGGCATTGTATCTCGAATCGTGTGTATTCATATGTGTGTGGGCATGTGCACATGAATGCTGCTGCCCACAGAGGTCAGTGGCATCGGATACGCCTGGAGCTGCCTGGCATGGGTGATGTACACACAAAGAATGGCTCAGCCACTTTTTCCCCAGCTACAGCATCCTTAATTCTTACCAGGGTAAGTCAGTTACATGCTACTACTCTCTTTTAGGGAGAGGGAAGATGTACCCCTTTTGACTGGTAGCGCAGAACCCCCAAAGGAGATGTTACGCTCTTGTTTTAGATGAAGCGGCTGAGCTGCAGCCAGGAAAGGCAACTTCTAGCTTTGCCATCACTGCTCAGCTCTGCAGGTGGAATCAGACCAAGCCTTCTCTCACCCCACTCTTGTTTTGCTCACTTACACACTGCCCTGCATGTGCTACCTTGATAGGCTCATCTGCATTTCCCAGGCATCTTCTGGTTCATCAAGAGTATTAACTTATTTCAAGAGGGAACTAACTCTCCTGTTTCCAGTGCTCTTGACCACGGGTGGAGCTCCCATGGGGCAATGTTAGTACCGGCAAGTCCCTTTGGCAGGGAAAAGCATAGGGAATGATGTCAACTGTACAAACGGAGCTGAGGAAATAAATGCAGCTGCTGAAGAGTTGAAATCAGGATCTAAGAAAGTACTGCTCCGGTTCACCTACTGAAAACACCCATTATGAAGCCCAGGAGAATGTGGCAGTGAGGGAAATCTCTGCAGTTCAGGCAGGTGACTACACACTGGGGAGGTGGCCAGGAGTGGGAAGGCTGGGCCTGGCACTCCGGCTCCAACCCCCTGCTTGCTTTGCTCTGCAGTCCAAAGGGCAAGAACTGGATCCAGCCTTTGGTCTGCTCCTTCCTGCTGTCCACTTTCCCTGGGCCTTTCTTTTCTCTGTTCTTTTCAGAGATGGATCAGATCTCTTCTCACCAACCCGGTTTCTCCCACTCTTCTCTAGGCCACCACTGGTCTTCACCAGTGGTAAAGGAGGAGCCATTGTTGGGCAAGAAGATGATGCTGTGGCCTCTTGCTAAATATATTACCCCTTCTTCTTTTCTCCCTCCCTCCCTCCCTTCCTCCCTCCCTCCCTTCTTTCCTTCCTTGGTTTTTTGAGGCAGTGCTTCTCTGTGTAACCCTGGCTGTCCTGGAACTTGATCTATAGATCAGGCTGGCCTTGAACTCAGAGATTCCACTGTCTCTGCCCCACCCTGCCCAGAGCTGTAATTAAAGGCACCCACCACCACTGCCTGGCTAAAAAGTGTGTAGCCTGGCTGTTCTGGAACTCACTCTGTATACCAAGTTGGCCTCAATTTCAGAGATTGCCTTTTCCCTACTGCGTCTTCTCTGTGAGCTACGGACGCAGGGTGTGTAGTGTGTGCTCCGTAGCCAGAGAGCATCGGTTTCCTGACTGTGCTGCAGAGAATCTAGGCCTGGCCTGCAGTGTATCCCTCGCTTCAACCTTCCAAAGAGAAAGAGTGCTCATTCAAATACTGTCACCCCATGCCTCAACCTGATTATATCTCCAGCCCTTGTGACCTTTTAGTCCCAAGCAGGGACACCTGCCACTCAAATCCACTCCTTAAATGCCCTGGTCTCTCCATTCCTTGCTTGGTCAACAGGAAGCACACAGAGAAGAACAGCCTCGTTCTTGTCCCCCCGTGCTCTGCCATTCACTGTGTACCCACCACGTGTCTGGCACTATGTTAGACATTCAGTAGAGACGAACACACCCACTTACAACCGCTTGTGTTCGTGGGCCTCATGCAGCTGCACCAGTTTAGAAGTGGAGACTTTTTGGCTCTTTTGTGTAGCTCTCCGCCCACCCATGTTTTTGTGCATGCACGTGTATGTATATGTCTGTCTACCCAGGAAGACTTTGGAGTGTCTTATCAGGCAACACTAAGAAAGAATTCATCAAGCCCATCAGGCTGAGCTCTACTGGATCAGGAAAAGTCTCCAGGACAGAAGCAAAGCTGTAGTGTCTATCATCTCGGAATTCCACTCTGCGCTTGGGGGACAGCATTACGTGCAAGGCAGTGCATACAATGCACAAAACCAGGAAGGGAGCAAGTGAGCGCTTGGTTCAGATCCCAAGAGTTCACAGCCAGCCCTCACTTGGCTGCAGATACAAGGCAGCTAATACTCAGGCTTCAGCTGGAACTGTATCCAGCAGCGGCCCAGCAGCAATGACTTATTAACGTATTACTACACTGATATTTAAATGTGAGCCGTAATGAGAGCTATAAAACATTTACGATAATAGCAATTATTCCAGAACCTGAATGACTAAACACAGTATTCACACTTTCATGATTTGCTGCTTGAGGCTGGCTGGCCCGGGGATGTCAGAAGGTTGCTAACCTCTTAGACACTGATTGCTCTGGAAGCTGCGTTTGCTGTTTTGCTAAGAAACACAGATTCATTTGATTTCTCGTCTTGGCAGTTTTGGTCTAGGGAGGGAACACTGTGCTCTGTCCAGCTCTTAGGTCCTGCCTAAGCATTCAGTGGGAGAGTTGGCATAAGGTTCCCAGTGCAGAGGGGCAGCGCTGGTGAGCCTGGGCCTCAAGGGCAGAGCCCTTGTTAGGATCTGGCTCTGCTGTTTATGGCCCATGTCGCCACCGGTAACTTTGTGGATCTCATTACCTGTCTCCTTTGCAGCCCAGGGGTAATAATAATGATCTCACAGAGTGCAGGCAGCGATTAAGAGAGATGGCACCAATCCCCATTATTAACCATGAGATTCTTATGTGAGGTAGGCTCTGGGTTATGGCTCTACATCCTACCATTCAAGTCCTCTCATCAAGGAGTGGAAAGGTGACTCAGTTGGTAAAGTGTTGGCCTTGTGATCCTGAGAACCTGAGAGTGAAGACCAGAACTCATATCAATTCCTCTCATTATCCTATGAAGCAAGGGATGGTGTCAAGACTTGAATCCAAGCAAGTCTGGCCTCAGGAATGAGATCTGTATAGGCTTCCTGTTGTTGCTATAACGATTACCATGACTTTGGTGGCTTGAATTTTTTCTCCTACAGTTGGAGGTCCTAAATCTAAAGTGGGCCCATGAGAGTGTACTTCTCAGGAGTCTTGGGGGTGGAGATTTGTTTCTTCTCTATTGGAGCTTGAAGGGTTGTCTGAACAAGCCCCACGCCCCCCCTCGCCAGGATCTCACAGTGATTACCTACTCTCCCTTTTAAGGAGTCGTGTGATTACAGAATATCTCTGCTCTCAAGATCATTAATTTGGTCCCATTTTTAAGGGCCCCTCTGACCACTTAGTGTGACACCCACAGATTCCTGGGATGAGGGTGTGGGGATCATTATCTAGCCAACCACCAGTTCCTTGAAACAAGGTATATGAAGAACTTAGAATGGGGCCGGGCTCTGAACTGATTTTCAATCACTGTTACTGTGGCTCATGATTAGTCCTTTCCTCCATGGCTTCACAAAATCTCATCTGATACAGCTAGCACTGTGAGGTCAGGACTATTACCCCATTTAAGAGATGAGCAGTCAGAGGCCAGGAGAGGCTAAGGGTCCTGTATGGGCAGCAAGCTAGCTGTTGATGAATGTTGGACTGGCCGGTCTTTTTTCTTTTTTCCCATCTCATTTCCCTGACTCACCCGCTGCCCTCTGCTTTTAGGCAAGGTGGCTGCTGCAGTATAGGTCCTATCTGTCACATCTACTTTAGACCCAGAGCTAGGAAATCTGCATAAGTCTCCTGTCACCTCTTGCTTTATAAGCCTTTGCAGCAGAAAACAAAAGGCTCCCTCTGCCAATGCCACTGTCCCCACTTCCCCACAGTTGGTGGCCTGTCTGTGCTACAGCAGCCACCTCGTGGACCTCATGTATTTACCTCCATCCCCTGGAGAAGCCATGCCGGCTCTGGGTCTGCCTTCGGCCCCTTTGCAATGTGGAGAAAAAAATACTTCTCCCAAATTATCCAGGTAAGGTTGGAAGTTTTCCCCTAAGCAAACACTATTAATCCAGCCTTTTCCTTAAGGTTTGAAGTTCAAATCTGGGGTCAAATGTATCCTGTTTGTCTCCTTTTTAATTTAAATTTTATGTGTATGGGTGTTTCACGTCAGTCTCTGTATCAGTTGCATGCCTGGTGCCTGTGGAGTCCAGAAGTTGTTGGAGCCCCTGGAAATGGAGTTAGAATTGGTTGTGAGCCACCATGTGGTTGCTGGGAATCGAGCCCAGTGCTCTTATCCACTAATCCATCTGCTCAGACAAGGTTCTGTTCATTTTAGGACTATCTGGTCTCCCTCATTTCCAGCCACCCCAAGGGACACTTGATTCTGAAAGGACACTTCAACCTGAATCCTATCGGGGACATCTCCGTTCCTTACAGGGCTAAAATGACAGCCACCAGCTTCCTGATTTTCTCTTAAGTCCTTACCACATTATAGATACTGTCTTCAATACCGAGGCCAGTTGACCTGAATACCAGCCCAGTGGTTCTAAGGTTCTGTCATACTAGGAGCACGGCTGTCTAATAAAAAGTGACCAATGCCACTCTTGCCTGTGAGACACTGTGATTGTGAGCACTAGAAAGGGTCTATTCAATGTTTTATTACAGGGGCTGGAGACACTGCTTAGTGGTTAAAAGCACTGGCTGCTTTTCCAGAGGACGGCGTTTTATACCCAGAAGCTACATGGAGGTACAACTGTTTGTAACTCCAGTTCTAGGGGACCTGACATCCTCTCTGGCTGCTG